ACACGTTATCGCTGTGTGCGTCATCGTATGCCTACATGTCTGCTCGCCAGGATTGGGANGCGACTGCAAGCATTCGTATCAAGAATAGTGGTTTCTATGCCAACAAAAGGTAATTGAGCAATTTTGTTTAGTGAGGTTAGATGATTATACAAATGTTAGAAAATGCTTTTTCTTACTTCAGCTGGTCAACTTACAAAACCAACTTGCTTTCTCAACCAATTCACAATGAAGTGAATTCAATTGGATTAATAACCGGCCAATGACAGGAGAATATTTGTTTATATCAATTGACAAGCCTTTTGATAGTTATCATCAACCCTTTAGTTGACTTCAAGCTTCACAGAGAGGAAGGATCATCAAAGTGAAAATAAAGTCGAGAGATGAGAGGATGGAACAGAAGAGTGTTTCAAAAATGTTAAAGAGACAGACACAAAGGTACGAAAAGATGAGGTGAGTGCTGTGAAAGGGATCGAATATGGCATACAGTGGGGTGATGGTAGTTTGTGCTCAGATGTCAATTGCCGGTTAATAGACTTTTTGCCATATGAGTATACGTTACCCAGGGTGCTCCACGTGAAGGTAAGTCTATCGTACACCCCATGACAGGAGAATATTGTATTCAATCGTGAAATACTCGCTTATTAAGTATTATTTGACTCGAAATCGAAATTAGGTGAATGACGTAAAGCCTTTTAATGCTTTGGCGTCATTCCTAGAAACATTTTCAACTATTTTCGGTTGTTTATCATAATTAGAAATGACGAATACTTTTGTTAAGATTGGCAATTTCACAGAGATGACTTCATCTACCACTCAACTCAACCGCGAAATCAGTCAGGAACCTCAAGACCAAACCCTAAAATTTGTAGCTATGAACATTCGTCCATGCCTCATCAGTCCAATTAAACGGAGTACAATGGAACAACGTCCTACGTCAAACAGTAAAATGGATTTTTTATCATTCTGTCCTTCCCAATAGACTTCAAACCAATCAGATTTTAGGAAAAAAGACAATTGATCGAAAATGTTGAATTTCACTACCCTTTACTCAATTAAGTAACTCGCCTAATTTTAATTAAGAGCGTTTTGATTTCTGATTTCCCTATTCAGTTGGTAATTTTTCAAAACCGAATGAGCAATTTTTCATTTAAAGGAGAACACTAATAAAATTATCGATTTTCTTTAAGCAATTCACTTATCAGTTGAAGTACTTTTTAAAAATAATCCCAAAAGCACACAAAACAGCTTTTTCTCTAGTCCTTGCTGAGTCTACAAACAATTTTTTAAATTAAAAAGATATTTTTTCCTATTAAAATTTTTAAATTTTATTTTTGAGCCATAGACAATTGTCAACGTCTGTTTAGCTATTTTTTTAATAATGGAACTTATTTATTTCAAATGACAGGCGTTTTGATAGTTATCATTAGCCATTTAGCTGACCTCGGGCTTCACAGAGAGGAGGAGGAGCATCGAAGTGACAAAAAGTCGAAAGGGGGGGGGACAGAATAATGATTCACAGATGTAACAGAGACAGACAAAAAGGCAGAGAAAAGGAAAGATGAGTACTGTAGAAGGGGTCGAATATGGCATACAGTGGAGTGATGGTAGTTTGAAGTGAGAAGTCAACTGCCAGTTAATAGACTCTTTTGCCGTATGAGTATACGTAGCCCAGGGTGCACCACGTGGAGGTAAGTCTATCGCACACCCCATAATGAAACTAAAATGACTCGTTTATTCAACGTATTGTTTAATTGTTTTGAATTAGATTAATAAAAATAAATATTTTATTTTCTCCTGTAAATCCGTGAATTATAACTTTGATAGCGTAAAAATTCAACACATCGTTTTGATTGATTGATAGGTCGTCATTAATCTACAAAAGGCATTTTAATTTTATGACAAAATTTTTACTCACAATTTTTGGTGCTCGTTAAATCAATAGGAAGGCTCTTCGCATGTTACTCTAAATTCTCAAATTTTGCTAAAATCGGTGGCTCAACTAGAAAAAAAATAGGAAAAACGGTTTTATAATAGATTTGCTTGCTTGGGAATGCACTCCAAGGAATATTTTCTAAATTTCGAAAAATGATTAAGCATTGAACAAAGGGGGCATTATAGTTATTACCATAGGGAATTTGGAAGCTTGATCGACAGAGTAGAGTGGTAGGCTTCAATGGGAATGGAAGTGATGAAGCCTTTATTGGCTCGAAGACATCTCTTGGAACAGTAAAAACTACCTCATACTTTCAACTAACTTAAAGGGTGGCGTGATTTGTTTTCCCCTGGATATCGGCGACGCATAGCTACTTGAAGTAGGCTAAATGGGATTGCAGGAAGACAATGCACTCTCCAAAAATATACTTTGATCAGTTTGTCTTTTCCTTTGCAAACAAAGCTTCGGAGATGTCTTAAGTCCCTCTTATTTCTTATAACCGTTTCGTCTCACTTAAAAGTGGTCTGAATTGATATCCACAAGAGTGTCCTTGCTTAGGATACTCATCTAAACTGCGTTCATAAACCCGCTCACGGTATAGTCAATACATTGGGGCACTCATATGAATTGCCGCTTGTTGTCAATACAATTTCTTCCAATTTAGTAACTCCTAACTTGCGACCTCAGTCCTTGCAACCCCAGCTTTAAAAAAATCAATAATCTCCAATCCAAATAGCGCAGCAAGGTAGTTGAACAAATTGGTGGACTAGAAGTCTACTCAACTATAAGTCACATAGGCATTAATGCGCGAGTGGTGTGAGCCGATAATTTAAATTAAACCAATACTAAGTGTGCATATTTTATGTTATCAAACCAATCAGAACTAAGAAGAGACCCACGAAGTGAAAAATTTGCACTTGAGAATTGAAATCTAGAAAATTCGTCACCATATTGCTATTAAACCTATATGCTGAGTTTTTTTTCGCGTTTAAAGGCACAACCCCCATTTCAAATCGATTTTTTTCGAAAATTTTCCTGCCAAGCAAGCGATCACCCTTGCCTGTCTACTGCTTTTGCAACAATAAAAAAATTAACAAATAAAACAAAAACTTGGAGCAAATAGCCACTGAAGTAAGTAATAAATATTTGCAAAAATCAATGTTAGCCATCGGGCTCGATTTTAGATTTTTATTCTCAAGCGCATAGAAATCATATCTCGTGAAAAATTTGAACGAAATTCCATCATTTGCATAAAAGACAATACTCTTTTTTTGAGAAACGCCCTCAACGTCGTATTTCCGCCTCACTTTTGATCAAGTAAGTTGAATAGTGAAAGGGCCTGAGGAGTAGATTTTGGGCTTTGTGAAGCTTAAAATCTAGGGTTAACGGAGATTCTATTCACTTCTTAAATGATAATAATCTTCCATTTTTAACCGAAACCGAACTCAAATGTTCTAAACAAATTACGCATTCTTAAAGTCACTAAATTGTTTGGGATTTATTAAAATGAACAATCTCCAAATTTGGCAAGCGTCAACAAACACCGTTTTCTACGTTCAGAGGAATGGATCTTTCATCTTGAGGCCGGTATTTTGGGCTAATTTTAAATAATCTCCGACATATATGGACATCTCTATCTCCCGACGAGCTTCATTATGCTGGAAGTATAAAATGTTGAGAATTCTCTAGAACAATCAAAGGAAGAAATATCCGCGTAAAAGCTACTTGAAGTTAAAATAATGGAACCCTAGCAGCAGTATTGATTATTAAAAACAATTTAACTGCGATTTCATAAAATTACAAAAAAAGTATTTATTTATATTAAATGGCAGGCGTTTTGATAGTTATCATTGACCCTTTAGTTGACTTCAGGCTTCACAGAGGGGAGGAGGAACATCAAAGTGAGAAAAAGTTGAGAGGGGAGGGGAACAGAAGGGTATTTCAAAGATGTAAAAGAGACAGACACAAAGGTAGGAAAAAAGGTAAGGTGAGTACTGTGGGGTAGTTGAAAATGACATACAGTGAGGTGATGGTAGTTTGAAGTCAGAAGTCAACTGCCGGTTAATAGACCCTTTTGCCGTATGAGTATATGTTGCCCAGGGTGCACCACGTGGAGGTAAGTCTATCACACACCACACAAGAAGAAATAAAAGTCAACTTTCTTCAATTCCATTATAGAACTGCGTTTTGTTCGACAGTTCTTGGCATGATCTCTTATTGAATTTAACCTCCAACGAGTACGTAATTAAATGCTTCAGAGACCTATAATGGGTATCACTTTTTGAAAACCTTGCCTATCAATACCATTTGACGAACCGAAGACACAGGATTCCTTCTCCACCCGCACCCGCATAACGAAGCAAATCGCATTTATTTTTGAAGCAAGAAGGTGTTCCCTAACATTCTCTTCTGTCTCTTCCATAAGCTGATTCGTGACATTGACTTATGCATATGCTTGATTTAATAATATGATATAATAAGAGGAAACAAATCTTGAAAGATTGAACGAATATCATTAATACGACCTAGTGATTCAATAAATTAATAACCCACCTACTGGTGGTTATCATTTATCTATTCTAGCGGTATTGAGGCTTAAATTAACATCAGCTGGTGATCCAACTAATCACGTGTCATTTACTCTACCAATCACGTCCCACAATCACCTTTAAGTGGGTAATTGAGGCGAATAGAGTTTGAAATTAAGTACCTTAATTGACAATACTTTTGGTGCATAGACAAGCGGTGAAGTGAGAAGAACAATAAATGAGAAAGTTTCACTTCACTCCAGTTCGATAATAAGCAAAATTAGGCGTTAAATTAGATTTTATGGCTTTGTTCATGGTCCATTAATAACTCTATTAAATTACCAAATGCACATTTTCATTTCACATCATTCAAACTGCTCTAACTCGAATATTCACTCCATATTTTTGATGTCTTAAATTTATGAGTATAAATCAAGGAATTGGTTTAAAAATGCCTTCATTTCGGGGCATAAGTATTGCGAAAACATCCTATTCGACATGAATTCGATGCTTCTAGCACTACTGATCACTCTAGTCCATCAGCCTGTCCGTAGGCTTTGAACATGTGAACTGACAATAGTTAATTCCAAATATTTGCAGGAGGATGGTTGGAAACACGAGGAGCAAAGTTTCCATTTGAGCTCAATCCGTAGTTGGCTATGCTTGAGTTTTCGAATAGTTGATCGGGCCTTAAGTGAGGACATGTTGAGTTGGCTGTCTTCTGTGTGCTCCCATTTGCAAAGATCTGTTTCAGCGCGTTTGACAGCTCGCATTTGGTACACGCTTGCAAGAGTGTGTGTGTGTATGTGTGGTGGCACTTAGTTGAAGTTCAACAAGTTGTTTCAGAAAAGGTATGAAGTTAATAGAGTACAAAGAAATTTTTCAGTACTTAGTTTGACAAAAGGGCATAAAGTCAACAATAGCAGAAGCTGAACACAGCTAATCCATTGTCCTGAAATTGTGCAGAATGCCGCCAATTGAATACAATGCCAAAGCTGAAATTCACTTAAAAAGTATGGAATTTGAGATTAACACAAATGAATTTGCATAAAAGAGTGTTACAAAAGGCAGCATCCCGACTAAAAAAATGACAAGAACATTGTTAAATGTGTGTGTGTGTGTGTACCAAGTCAAATATAACTTAACAATACCTTCTTTTAAAGATGACGGGAAAAAATCAATCAACTGTATAAATGTTAAAGTATTTTGAGAAAAAATATTTGAGTAATTTTGGTCGATTAAGGTGTGCTAGATACATTTTGGCAAAAAAAACACTTTCACACTTTTACAGAGTGATCTCACGTTTAAATCAGTCATAAATGAGGTTCCTAAAATCTCTACCATTCAGCAGCTTCATTTTAATTTATTTTTATTACTGACTACTTATTGCATAAACAGTAGACATTAATGCCTATCTTTTGAAGACTACAATATCGACAAGTTGAATATCACCATTTTTGGACGCGGGATAGACTCACCTCCAAGTGAAGCACCCTGGGCAACGTATACTAATACGGCAAAAAAGTCTATTAACCGGCAGTTGACTTCTCACTTCAAACAACCTTCATCCCACTGTATGTCGTATTCGACTACTTCCGCAGTACTCACCTCACCTTACCTTTTTCCCTACCTTCGTGTCTGTCTCTCTTTTACATCTGTGAATCACTCTTTTCTGTTCCTCTCTCTCAACTTGTTGTGACTTTAATACTCCTCCCCCTCTCTGTGAAGCCCGAAATCAACTAAAGGGTAAAGGATAACTATCATGAAGTCTGCTATTTTATATAAATGTATTTCATTAATTTCCCAGTTAAGCAGGTGAATCAAACGGACTTGATTTTATCAAGTTATGAAACTTACCCTTCCCCCCCCCCCCTCATTTTATTTACGAAACGTCATTTTGATGTCAAAAGATGCACATATAGTAATTAAGTTATCTGGAACTAGTAAGCTGAATGCGTTTAGAAAAAATTGCAACAAACAAACTACCACGAAGAAATAAATTATCTAAGGCATCAATGCAAATCTCTGATGAAATGGTTAAAGTAGATGTGTGAAGGTTTAAACGCTGGTTGATACTTTTCATTCAGCATTGAAGCACCTCATCAGGCAGACTCAAGGGTATTTCAAATGGCAGGCTTTATGGTGGGTATCATGGGTGTGCGATAGACTTACCTCCACGTGGTGCACCCTGGGCAACGTATACTCATACGGCAAAAAAGTCTTTTAACCGGTAGTTGACTTCTCACATCAAACTACCATTTACACCGATTCCACAGTACTCATCTTACCCTTGACTTCAAGCAGTTGACTTCAAGCTACCATCACCCCGCTGTATGTCATATTCGACTACTTTCACAGTAATCATTTAACCTTTTCTCTGCCTCTGTGTCTGTCTCTTTTACAACTGTAAACCACTCTTCTGTTCCCCACCCATAAACTTCCTGTTACTTTGACGTTCCTTCCCTCTGTAAAGCCCGCAGTCAGCTAAAGGGCTAATGATAACTATCAAAACGCTTGCCATTTGAAATAAATAAATAAATTTTGGGTTCATTAGTCCTTTAGCTGACTTCGGACTTCACAGAGGAGAAGAACATCAAAGTGAGAAAAATTCGATAGGGGGAACAGAATAGTGCATCAAAGATGTAAAAGAGACAGACAGAAACAAATGCAGAGAAAAGGTGAGATGTGTACTGTGGAAGGGGTCGAATATGACATACAGTGGAGTCATTGTAGTTTGAAGTCAGAAGTCGACTGCCGGTTTATGGACTTTTTTACCATATGAGAATACGTTGCCTGGGGTACACCACGTGGAGGTAAGTCTATCGCACATCTCGGCAAACTCAAGGGCGCCTTCACTCAACTCACCCACTGAGACTAATGGCAATAATAAGAATGATCAATGACCAAGAAAACCTCGGATTGTCGTTTTAATTTCTGGACTGACTTTCAGGGGGA